TCTCGGAATTTCTGTCGTAGTCACCTGAACCATAGCTTTTTGGCGAGCGCAAGCTGCAGTTGAGTCCCGGGGTCGGCGGCAGGGGCGGCAGCCCTTAAATAACAAAATCTCAGTGGATACTGTCGCAAACAACCACGGGTCTTTTCGAGAATGTTCTAACTTGTGAACAAAAAACATCATTATTACTGTCGCAAAACAAAATGCTGATCTCGTGGTGGGTCTACGCCAAGGCACTGCAATGCGCCATCCTTGTGCTGACACACTGCATGCTGCGGGGTGAGCGGTTGCATCCTGGACCATGCTGCCAGCATCTGCCGCGCCCAACCTGGCTCGAAAAGCAATTAATTACATTAAACCACCTAATTAGCATTCACAGTCAAAGGAGAAAGGGAGTCCCACTTGGACAAGCCAAATCTTAACCATCTTAACCATATTTTTGGTGGCAGCCTATGTCAGCCTACTTGCCTGAACCATATGCCACAGGTTGGCATTGGTTGCAAACTTCCACAACAGTATACGACCAAGTCAAGTAGCAACTGCATAACTTTGGCATCATTGTCGAAACCTTAGCATCATGCGAATCATGTTTTCGAAGGTGTTCCAAACAACATGGTTATTCCCAGATTCCCGGCTTCTGTACATATTCTTGGTACAAAATCCGTCATCTCATCTCCTGTGAGGTGTCCAGCACAGAAAGTTCTGAGATGGCAGCGCGTGACAAGAACTTGCAACGAAACCTAAGTCGTGCAAACAATCTAGGAACCGAATAGTGCGAGCGCTTCTTCAAGGAATCTTCCCCCGTCCTCAGGCGGGGGGAGCTTCCTTGAAGAAGCGTGAGCTATCCTGCATCCATATGTGCGTAGTAGCTAGCGCCCTTTGTTCCTAGGAGCGTGCAAGTGTGTCCCTTACTTAATCAAGTAGGCAGGGCCACGGATTAATAGAAAGATAGTCAATATGAGTCATTAGCTTCTCCTCTTCATGATCATTGGACTTGCTCAGCATCTAAGTAGTATGTACATACAGTGTGTATCCCAATGGTATATTGCAAAAGAAATCATTACAATATGACAATCGTAGGATCCTCTGCCACCTTCGAACTGTCTAGGAAATGGTCCTGTGCGTGTGGGAGGGAGCTCAACATGAAGCATGATGGCATGTCATGTCAGGCAGCAGTGATGAGGACCAGCAAGTTGTAGCCACTTCTCGCAGATGAAGCTTTTAGCAAGCAGCATACCTAAGCACAATGCACAGGGTGTATCAGGGTGTCCTGATACAGAAAGCGTGTAAGGCACTGGGGGTGGTGCTGGCAAGTCCACATCCGCACAAATCAGGTCATACGTCATATGTCATGCTGGAGGGACCGGTGATTTTTGCAGCCCCAAGACAGTCTCATTGGTGCAGCCACTGCAAATGTGCACCAAGCGATGCTCTTCACAACGGAAAATGTCAAGAGACCTGGCCAGCTACCAGCGCTGCAATGCTAACAAAGCCCAGCATCGCATGTCATGACATTGACAGGCTGCAAGTGAGTGACCGGCAAACTGAAAGTTAAAAAATTGATCGTTTCTATTGAGGCTTCGTTTTTGGTTTTCCGGCTTCGTGTTCCAAGGATTTCCAAGGAATGTGCAAGATTCTGCAAGATCTCACCAAAAATGATCAATTGTATGTAAAAAAATATTTCGCTAGGATTTTGACTGTCACTGTGGCTCAGGTCCATGAAAAGCAACATGAAACAACTTGCACGTTTTGCAGCCAACCATTTCTCCCAACTTTGTCTTGCTGTATATACCTAGACCGTAGACATGTTTGATTCGAGACTTTTGCATCAATCAAAGTTCAAGACTCTGCGGAAGTGCTGTTGTGACGGAGGCTGAAAACATCTGAAAACTCGCAGTTGAAGCATCCTGGGACTCTCACGTCCCGCGTGCAACAACCAGCTCCTGCAAGGTTGACCCACCAAGCTGGCTTTACCTGTGACTCTTCTGAATGTACTTTTGGAACGCGGAACCCGTCTGGGCCATTCAGGCGGCAATGAAAACCCAGAACAGTAGCCTCTAGATCAGGTAGCTGTGCTGAACTATGGCCAATGCCAATGACGCATCAAATTAACAACACCTTCCACTTGTGACTGATGATTCACTCCACCTCTCCTCCTCATCAGGTTGGGTCAATGCCACAGGTCCAAGCACACTCTCTACTGCTGTTGCAGTTTGGGTGGTAGCGAAGTAGCTCCACTGACCCATGCTGCACACATGGCGAATAAAGCTCGCGGTCAAGGTGCTTTCTACATCTCTACTTTTTCAGTGTGAGACCTCTTGTTGGACTCAAACCCAAACCCTCAAACCTCTTGCTTGGTGACATGTCAATTTGCGTAGCTGTGAATGGTCAACTGGTCAACGCTTCTCGACAAGTGTTTTGTAGTAACACATTGATTGCAAGTGATTTCACTTGCTGAGAAAGATATCGAAGAAATTGAAGGGTAGTTATTTGGTATGTGGCATGTGGGACATGTGTCTAGTTGGCTAACCAGGGATCCGTGACGGAGATCGACTAGTTTATGTGAATGTTGCAGCACTCAATCGATCTACTTGCAGGCAAGGTCAGGCAGTCAGGGCCGTTTGTGCACGTATCGAGTACCACAAGGGAGTTGAAACCAAATCATTAGTGCGAGCGCTATCCCGCGTCCAATTATATACCAGAAGCTAACTACAGTATTACTGTAGTAGTAGTAGTCGTCGTCGTCGTCGTCGCCGCCGTCGTCGTCGTCGTCTATAGTGGCGAGTAACTATAGGTAGGTGCCTACTTAAGTATGGAGGCAGGGGGCCTCCACGGGTTTTAAAAAGTTCCATATACTGTATAATATAATAGTTATTCGTTGGAAAAACATCATGTGAGCCATTGAGGTGGAAAGGAACAAGGCACTTCATCACTCAACCTGCACGGAAGCCTTTTACAAGTCTTGCGGGTTGACGCGGCCAGAATAACCGCTCCTGGCTCCTATGGTTCTTCTGTCCTCAACCTGTCCATGGGACGGGGTCGAAGTACGACTATAACCGTCAGGGGCACTCCTGTAGGCATCGACCCTGTAGTTGTCAGCACTTCGGCCGAACTCCGGACGGCTGTAATCTGCCCCCTGGCTCCGGCCATTCCGCTCGTCATCCCGGACCTGGCCCCTGCCATCTCGATAGCCATCTGCTTGATAGCCAGCGCGGTAGCTTTCGCTCCGCACATGGGAATCGTTATTGTAGCTATCCCGGTATGATGGTGGTCGATAGCTGTCCCGGTGGCTGTCATTGCGAGAGCTATCCGCACGCTCGCTCAAAGAGCCTATAGGACGGTGATCAGATCGGCCATCACGATGACTGTCACTCCGAGCGTCGCTCCTGTAGCTCTCTGGGTAAGCACTCCGCTCAGAGCGGTAGTCACTCCCGTGGTTGCCAGGATGACGATCTCGACCATCAGAATGTCGGACATCAGACCGCGATGCATTTGACCGGTATCTTTCTGGTGCCGGATCACCACGAAAGCTGTGGCTTGCACCGTGGTCGCCATGGTTGACCATCTGACCCTTTCTGGGATCAGCTTGTGGGGCTGCTGCTGGCGGATCAGGCCTTGTTCAGGGAACCACGTCAGTTGGACAGAAATAATAGGGGTGCCAAACATCACAACGACAACAACAGCAACAATCACCACGACAACGACTAGTGACCAATATCAATATATATATATACATATATATATATATGTGATTATATATGTGTGTGTGCCGTGCATGACTTCAATGACTTCATTTTGCACAGTTTTCTCCGCTTCTTGCGGCCCTTTGGCCTAGATCGCTTTGGCTCATTTAGCTCTCCAGTAGCGAAGGCCTCCCCATGCTGTTCCATCCCAGCCTTGGCTCAAAGAGTTCCAGCTAGCCTCTGAGCTGGTTGGAATGGTCGAACAACGATGATCAGCCCTCAAGGCCTCATTGAACATATTGGCTTCAATATGCTTCAATTACTGCTTCAATTATATACCTTTTCATCCCTCCAATTCCAATGAATCACAATCCAAAAGTCCATAAAGGCGTCCAATGGATCCAACTCCTTCGCAGGTCTGCGCAAATGCCCTTTGCCTCCCTTGACTTGGCTGCTGCCACTGTTGCCTGAGATGTTCTCTTGCTCGCCGACAACTGCACATACCAATCGTAAGTGAGGGCACTAGGAAGTTCTATTCTCTGCACGTTCCATGCCTTGTATGGTGCCTCTATCTATATACCTCCTACACTCCCTACACTGCCTCTACACTGCAGTCTCTGCTCGCTTCATCTCACCACGTTTGACATTCCCTCATCGCATCCTATCCCATCTATTTGCATTGCACCTCACCGTGACCCTGGTGTGTGCACTCTCATGCAATACAACTCTGCCTGATCTCATCCAAGTGTAATCACATTGCAGGTTGCATCACTGTGCTGGGAAAAGAATGTTCTCCCCCCCTCTGTTCAATTCTCATCTCCTTGCATCACTCTGCAGTCCACATCAACTTATCTTATTGAATGGCGAGCCTGCACGAGCAACTATAATGTCTTCATTTTGTCATGTCTGTCCTTTGTTCCTCATGTTGTTTCATTTGTGCTGAGCTTTGCTGTCAGAAATGCTGTGGAGGAGACTTGCAGGAGCAAAGTGGTTCCCCGACGCCTAATGAGCAGCAGGATAACAAAGTGCCACGTTGCCTGATAATTAGGGCTCCTTCGTAATTGCAATTAACTCTCTCTGAGCTCATCATGCCCTAAGCCTTTAGCCACTCCTTTAGCCCTCTCTCCCGACCTCCTCTACCATGCCTTGACCTATTCCAATCCGATCCCCTGCACTTTCAAGGGTCACCTCACGTGCTCCCGCATCAGGCAGCATCACCATTCCAAAACGGTTCCCTAACGAATACACTAGAGCCCCTGCTGAACCCCAAAAATGGAACTTTTGAATTTCCAGCCTTATGAGGCCCCAAACTCCACATGTATCATACTTTGTACCCCCAACTGAGGCTGTGCAACTCTGTGGATAGTGGTTCTCAAATGGGTCTCGTGACTGCAAACTGGATCCGCTGCATTGCTCATATACAGTATATGTCCAGGCACCTTTGATTTGGCCCTGCGCTGGGCCTTTGACCATGCCTCGTGTTTGAATGGGCTCGATCACAAACATTGCATGGCTGGTGAAATGCTAAAACTCAAGCTGAAGTGGAATGAGAAAGTTATACGGATACGCATCCAAGCGGTATCAGGCGGTCCACATATCGAGGAGCCAAACGCCAAAAAATGATCAAACATGACCAAACCCAAAGAAGGATTCATAGATTCATCCACAAACCTGTGTTCCCGGTGCTTTGTTCCAAGCCAAAGCCTGGAGAGGCTGCAGGTGGTGCAGGCACAATTGGACGTGGAACACTTTGAACGTATGTGCCAGCATCTCTGCCTTGGTCAATGTCACGCGCACAAACTGTGGTATTCGGGGGTGCTACAGATTCAATCCAAGGTCTTAGGCTACATCGGTTCCATGTTTCATCCCTTGATTTCTGCATCAGCTTGTATTGGAGTACAGTCGCACATCTTCTGCAACGGACTTCGCGGGTAACTATAATTATTTCATGTGTGGTATGTTCGTTGACATTCTCCGGGGTCCCTGCTGTAGACCTGCGTCGACAAAGCCGACCTTTGACCACTTCTGGAGTCTGGTGGCGGATCCCGCCGATACGCCGTCTGTGGTGCAGGCTGTGCAGGTGTTCTTTCCCTGTCCCTGTCTGGGAGCGCTCTGGAGTAGGCGGTGCTTGGTGGGTCTCTTCCTGGCTTGGCCACCAGAGAAAAATTGCAACACTGCAAGATAATGCAAAATACCAAAGTCAATGGCAGCTGCATCTTCCTTCTTATTGACATTTTACTTCGCTCAATGCCCCTGTCAGGAAGGACAAGTGGCGTGTAGTTGTATTAGCTCGTGGGGCTGGGGGCGGCGGAGGGCCTTAGCTTCTTTGGGTTTCTGAAGCGGGCATCCTTGAGTTGCGCCCCGGCAATACACGAAATTGCCACAAATCATGTTAGTTGTTTGGGGCACTCTCTGGAGACAGAGCTGTCGGAGTAATTGCTGCTTCCAAGTATTGCAATCAACTGCCAAAGCACATCGCGCAGCCGCGGTGCGCGGCTCACTCGGAGGACCTCAAAGATTGTTAAATCCAGAGACAGCGTTGAAGGTTTGAGCACAAATCGGGAAGGCAAGCACCTGGAGTTTGCAGCTTGGTTCGTGACCAACAATGCAAGTCTTAGAGCTTTACACGCAACACGCATCGGTTCAAAATGAACCAATGGCCGCCAATGGCCCAAGCGTCGTCCGACAGAACTGTTGGACTCGCAGTTCAGTGCGCACCAATACGTGCTCAACATTATCTGATAGCGATATGTTTAGTTTGCACTGAAGTGTTGCAGTCACGGGCCCAGGACTTTCCAGTCAGTGCGGCTGAGCCGGCTGAGCCCGATCCCTGGGAGTAGTTTGCCATGGAGTTTGGCCTCCTGGGTGCCAATGATTCATGACATCCAGTCTCCACATTTGCATTGCTTGAGTGGACAGCCTCTTTTCAGGCCACTGCTGGCGAATGAAACGTTTGCGTGTGTTGGCGCTGCTTGGGCCGTCTGGCGCAGCACAGCAAAGAGCCTGTGGGTGACATGTCCGACACGTGTCAGTGCTTCGGCGAGGAGTTGGTGACGCACATGTCTGCCAGCTGATGGTCCTCCAAACCTTTACGGAGTCACTGCACTCAGTTAGAGAATTATTTAGTATAAATTACATGATATTACATGACAATGATATTACTGTACATGTTTGCAAAAGGATTTGCACCTGCATCTCCAACCAAACTCTGATGTCTCAGTCTCTGGCTGGCATGACTGCCGGTCCGGTACCTCCTGGAATCTGCCTCGCCATATCCTCAAGTTGCAGTGGGCTTTCGCGTGCTCTTCTCGACCAAAATGCGCGGTTCATGTCCAAAGGAGCAATAAACAAACGTGGTAAATGAGTATAGCTCAGGTCTCGTGCGAAGGTCCGGTCATGTCTGGTCCAGTATGCTAAAGAATGTAAGTCTAGCTTGTGCCCTCTGCCAAAACCATGAAACAGTTCTGCTTGAGCAAGCTTCTTCCTCTATCTCTTGACCGGCTCTGGATTCTGTAGCCATCTCTGTCGGTGTCTCGCTCGCTATATCGATCTGGGCGTCTATCCCTGCCCAAACCGTACTCAAAGTGAAGATCACACGGACACCAAACAAAGGACGCTGCCAAATGTGACTCTGGTTAATGCACTCTTTCACATGCAATTTCGTGTAATACTTGCATTTTATACTGTATGTAAACACAGCAGCATAAAAACTAAACGTCGCAAGTGTAGACGAAAGCAGTCAACACTTGGATATTGTGCCTTCAAAATTCACTTCCATTTTCACCCAGCAGGCCTATCTCTATCTGAGTAGCGATCCCTCGGCATGTCACGCTCTCTACCAGACTGCTTGTCATCTCGACTGGAATAGCTCTGACCGTAGTTGCCTCAGCTTGTCACCAAAACATTGAGCATTACAGTCTGCTGTTGAATCAAATCAAGTCATTCCACATTAGCACAAATTTGGTAGGAAGGTTAAACCATCTTGCTTCGCACTTTTTCTTGTCCGACATTCTGCATCTCAGGCAGGGGCTTGCCCTCAATGACTCACCAGGCCTATCTCGGTCACGTTCAGGTCGCCTAAGGGATTTGGCATGGGAGGAATGGAAGGCAGGAGCGCACGCTTGGTGCGCCTCTCACGATCTTGGTCTTTGTAGCCAACTTCTTGATGCGGCCGCTTCGCTAGACTCAGTCATCAGAATGATCGGCCAATGTTTTTGCCACAGCCGTGCCAAAGGCGCTCACAGCACTTGTCAAGGTTACTGACCCAATTCATTTCAGCATTCTCTGCGCAAAAACATTGAAACAAAAACACCTCCTGTCAAAAAAACAGCAAAACACTCAGCAATACTGGTATCACACAACCGGTTGTAGCTTGGCTGGGTGAGTTTGGTGGAAAGGTCAATGAAAGGGTATACCCTTTACAGGGATGGTTTAGGGTATACGTATGGTATGGGGTCGCATTGCCCGACGAGGGGTGATCATTGCCAGTCAGCCAGTCAGGATTTGTACGTGGAATAAGGATCAGCTTGGCTTAACTTGCGCATGTTGCAACATGCTGTAACAAGGGATGCCAAGCGCAAATTCTTCGGCCAGCGGCCCTTTCCGCTCCAATGGTGGTTGGGACTCCTGATAGAATTTGCAGTTCCAAATCTCACAAGTCTACCTTTCATTATCATCGAAGTGTCAATTCCGTGATGAAGAATTGCGAATAAAGCCAAGCAAAAGTCTTCCAATCTTGGTGTAACCATGTGTAAATACACAGCTTGGAATAGGCACACCCTGTGGACCCATGTGGGACGGTCTTGAGTCTTGAGGTCTATTTTCCACTTGCGTTTTTATGACAAGTCTGTGTGCCCCTGAGCATACAGGCAATGGCATGGTCACCTTGAATTTCTGCGTGCACCGGAGAGATAGCACAGCTGGCAAAGCTTCATTTAGAATATATAACATACAGTACAGGATTTTTTGGAAACCGTAATATACCGCAATTAAGTATATTGTTTGTATTACATTGACTCCCCTAACAAAAGCGGTGTTCGAACTTGAACAAACATCAACAACCACAGAGCGTGAAAGGCATGGCCTTGCAGCTGTGGCCTTGCACCAACCGAAAGGGAAGTAGGAAAAATGCAAAGAAGGCATGGCCTTGTAGCCTCTCAAAGTGAATTTATGCAAAGGAATGCAAAAGCAGCCCCGAAAGCAAAGCTTCCAGTACAATGTCAGTGGCTGTCATATTGTGCGTCCTTGGCTTTTCTTGCTTCGTACTTCTTCCTAAGTTCGCAGTGTGAAAACGACTTTGTCCCAGAACATCGCTGAGCATGCTGACACTGCCTCGATACATTTTCCAGAGATGCTCATCAAAGCCAAAACCTGTGGCTATGCAAGTAGTACTGGCGCAAACAAGGTGCTTGGCTTCTCTTTCTTTCTCGGCACCGGGAAACTTGAGCAGGACAGTTTCGTCACCAGCCTTCGACAAAGAGGACACACACAAACACGCAGCGTGTCAACCTAAAAACACTCGTTACAGTATATGATCCTAATCCGCATCCTAAGTACTGGGGGAGTGGTGGTGTGTGTGTAAGCAGCGCCGTCCGTTTGGGCAATGGCTTGTTATTTGATCCATCCACGTTGCTTGTCGAGAAGACGTCCAAGGAGGAAAACAAGAAGTAGAAGCAGGAAAAGACTCAGAAAAAGAAAGGAGAAAGAACAACGAGGCAGTCGGGCGATTAAAAGAGCTAGCGGCCTAACCATTGTGCTAGAGGGCTCCTGGTGGTACGCATGGAGCTTCAAAAGAAACGCTGCGCGCTTGACAAGCATGGCGCTTCGGACGGCACCTCAAAACAACCCAGTCAAAGCATAGCCAATGAAAATATGATCAAAGCATATCAGGGCGATAATGCTATAGCTTTTTCGTAACTCATGATTCACCTGTGAGATGGCCTCTGTTTTTCTGCAGGCCAAAAAATGTTTGCTCTGCTGGTGTTCTGCAGCACTCTCTGTTGCTCTTTGGCATCAGGAAAAGCCCTGCCATAGGTGATTGGCCAGGGCGAAGCGGCTACAGCCTAACTCGGCAAGCACACAGCTTGTGGCAGCTCACAAAGGTAGACTCTAGGAAGAGTTCAAATAACGTCTCGATCGGGATCCCACTGCACGTAAAGGGTGCTGTGAGAAAAACCCCATCCGGGTGAAAGGCAAAGGAAGCAGGGAATATTTGCAAGTCGCCACTCTAGGTTTTGCTTGTCAACTACACTTTGAACCCGCTTCCGAGCTAGTATTGAAAGCATCCAGCCATAGCAGTTCAAGTACAGTCTTTTCCTGAGCTCATCCACCACGGCAATCTCATCATTCAAGCGTCCAATTGCCATTTGGAGGGAAGCACGTGGCACACACATCTCAAAGTCCGGACCTTAGTTCCCAACTCGGCTAAGTTCTTAAACACATCACCTACACAGGTTCAATGAAGTTGGTGTATCCCCATACCTCTCTCCTCTTTTGCCTGTGTTGTGCTCTTGTGTTGACTAAGCTGGGGTCTGAGACCTGCAGGGTAATGCTGCGTAGAGAAGAAGTTGGGAGTGCCAAGCTGGAGAGGCAAAGCCAGGTCGAAGCTGTAGGCTCGCCGCTGCAAGTGCACAATTCGAAGCTCCAGCAGTAAGGATTTGTCAATTTCCTCCAGGGCACTTTTCAGAGACATGGCAACATGTTTGCTACCTTGGTATGTATGGGAAACTTGGCTACAATTGGATTCGTTTGGTGTGGTGTGCGTCCAAGGATGCATTGAATGTCTTCCACGGCTCTGTTTCACAATTCGTTTCACTTCGACTCGGGCTCACGGCCATTCATTCTCACTATCCCGCTACCAATACGGCCTCAAATTAAAGTAGAAAACGCAACATCAAAACTACAAAACTATAATTCTACCTAGCAAGCTAGTCTCTGCGGCACTTGCCGTGACATTTGCCCCAGATCCTGTCGACACATGGGACAGTTCAAGGCTCGTATCTTGCGACAACAGTCGATACAAATCGGGTGCTTGCATCTGAGATCCACCACATTGGGCACGCAATCATAACAAACACAGCACTCCAGGCACTCCGCGTTTGTTGCCATGGCGGCTCAAGTACTTAGGCGGTTTGACCAGGAATTGACCTCAAAGTAACTTGATACCCAGTTGTTTGTTTCTTGTTGTTGTTGATGTGCATGTGGTTAAAAACTGCTTGGTTTGAGCCTGGGGCACATTGACTTGCAGAACAAGGAACCAAATGGACATCCAACCTTCCTGATCGTGTTTCAATGGCCTCCAAGGCTTGAAGGCGATCCCGGCGTGCTTTCCTAACCGCAAGAAACTCGTGTCGAAACAAGTGTTATATCTCCGCTTTCGCATCTCACAACATTGAGGCCGACAATCTTGATCACAAGTTCACTGATTCAGACACAACCTGTATGGGCCGCACTTTGGCACTTTTTCAGCTTTGCATAAAACATAAAAATCCCAAACACAAAATAAACAGAGATCCGGGCATGGACCTGCCTATTTAGGCCTATATATTTGCCAATAGTCAATGGCAACAAGGCAAGTTCACCAACAAACGCTTTGTCTTTGGCGGGCTAGGCTCTATTGAAACATCTGAACTTTTTCAATGCGCCGCACAACGTCATGTGCCCACATATATCTGCAAGCGCGACAACGCCGCGGCAAGCACGAACCGTCCAACCTGTTTCGGAACCCTGGGGCCGGCCAGCATGCCGGCGCAACAAACAAACTCGACCTCACCATCATAACGTGTCAGCATGTTAGCAGGACCCATGTCAGCACGCCAACGTGACAACATGTCACCATGTCACGTCACGATGACAGCCTGACAAAATGCCGGCGTGACCTCAGCATGTCAGAATGACAACATGCAAACACCTGAAAAAACACCAGGATGACATAGTTTTTGCAGGTTAACATGAAAGAATGAGAGCAGGTCACAATGCCAGCATGGCAGCGAACACAGTGCAAGCACGGTAGCCGGACGGCATGGCAGCACGACAACCATTGACAACCATTTTGACATGTCAGTATTTTGCCTTGACAACCTCAGCTTTACCCAGAACCTTCTCCAGAAACCTCTTCCAAAACTTGCCAAATTTGCACAATGTGGTTTGGGAACGCCGAAACCTGTTGAACGCCCCTATGTTTTTGGGTGTGAAACAAAGAATCACCAAAAATATATACGAATTGTGATCTTCATGAAACAACATCTCGAGTTCTTCTCATGGCACCTTCATGTCGGTTCCTGCCGGCCTTGAATCCAAGAAAGGACACCCAAGTCAGAGATGGTGCTCAGTCTTACTGTCACTCCGATTTTTTTGTCCTTAAGTTCTACTCTTGGAGAACACACAATGGCCGGTCACTGAATCACTTGGCTCAGCTCAAGATCTCTCCGCCCGTGCCAGATCCAAAAACAGGCCCAAGTCAGTAACCCCCAGCGAGCCACTGTGCCCCATCAACCCTTGGTTCTAACGATGGATCGACAGTGGTAAGTTGTCTCTGATGATTCTTTTGGAGGAGTCACCTTAGCTTGAAACTAAGAACTTTAAACTACTTTACTTCGAACAGTCCCCACCGTGGCATTTCAAGGCACATCCACCATGCAAGGGCAATTTTCAAGTCTGTCTCATTGCCCGCAGCTTGCCACATGGCAGACCACTTGAATCAGTACCTAATGTGGCCAGCAGAGTACCACCTGAAGCAATCATCGAATGTGGCCAGCAGTAATGGTGGAAAGAAAACATGCCAAAACATGTCAGAGCAGCACCTGAATCAGTCATCAATTGTGGCAAAGCAGTGATGGAGACAAACATGCCCAAACATGTCAGGGTCAACCTGAATCAGTCATCAAGTGCGGCAAGCAGAAATGGAGACAAACATGCCAAACATGCCGTTCGGCAGTGCAAACTGCGACTGTTGAGGTCCGGTAGTGATAGTGCCCACTCCAATCTGGCGCTTGCAGTTGAGGTCCGGTAGTGCACACTGCGATCTGGCGCTTGCAGTTGACAGAGGTCCGGTAGTGCCCACTGCGGCACTGGCAGTTGGGGTCCGGCAGTGCCCACTGCGATCTGGCACTTGCAGTAGGAGTAGGAGAAGGAGGAAGAGGTGGAGGAGGAGGAGGGGGGAGGAGGGAGGAGGGAGAAGGGAGGAGGTAACCCTCACCTGGCAGGTGGAGAAAAAGATGGAAAAAGCTCAGCCTCATCAAATATGGTAACTTCTCTTTTCATATACTGTAACGGGTCAACTTTTTATGTCAAAGAATTTGTTGGATCTTAAACCACCGTACGGATTGGAAACCGTACCCTGTTTTGCATGTTCTCATGTCAAAATCATTGGTAAACGCAGTGTTTTTTGCATGCGTTTCGCGTAAAAAAAACGGCCGTTTCGCGACACCTGAAGTTGATGGTTTTTTACGTCAGTAGCTCTCCGCAGTGAGGCTCCGAACGCACATCTTTTTGACAGATGCCTTTGTCGAGTACTTCAGCGACGGCGCAAAGCGGCGCCGGTCTTCTTCAGCAAGTCGGAACCTTGTGTCCAACGCCAATGCCACATACGCACGTAGCAGCGGAGCCAATCGCTCAAAGCTCCTGCACGCACAGGGACCACATTGCATGTTAGCAACATGTCTGTTTTTTTCAAGTTCATCGGGCCGGACTGTGTGTGTGACTGGGTGTTTGTGCCAAACGCATGCCGTTGTTATACACATGTACTTTTAGACCTGGCCTTGGCGGTCGCGTGAAGACACGCGATGAGGTACAGCTGCTTTCAGCAGGCGCCACATCGAGTCCACGTAGCCCGTGTGCACGTGCAAGGAACTTCTGGGCCCACGGCGCACTTTGAAAGCACAGTTGCGCCTATCACAAAATCCATACTTGTACTGCCTCGGCTTGGACTGCACTGTGGCCAAGCGCTCAGACAAAGGCTTCGCGCAGCTCTGCTCAGCAGGAACGTCCACCACTGGGTCGACTTCTTCGGACTCTGTCTCAGCTTCCTGCAGTCATGTAAAAAGAAGAGTCTAGTCTTGTTGACATAACGACATACTGACTTGGCTTTCGATGCTTTCTTTGTTCGTGCCATTTACACAACATAGGAGTGCATGCATTGAGCGCGCAGGGTCCTCGTAGAGTTCCACATATCTTTGGCGCTGTCCCCGAAGGAGATCTTTAACAATGGAGACAAGGGTTCGTCCATTGCTTCCACACCATCCCAGCTGCCAGCCACCATTGAAGAGGCTTGCGCCTCACACTGCGGTTCATCCTCTTCGAGAGAAGCCGCCGGAGAACTGTCCACTTCCACAGGGCTTGGAGTGTCCAGATGCAGAGCGTTTTCTTCGTGCCCAAGAGCCTGCGTGACTCGGCGTTGTCGGCTGAGAAAACCGCAGCCGCTGATCCATGAACACTGGTGTGAAGCACAGTGGTCCCAAACACTCTTCCTACTCAAGCAATCATTGCTCGTCAATCATCCAAAATCCTCATAACTCCCTATACCCAAAAAGCCAAAACTATTCGGGTGCCACCACATGACTTTTCATTCTGAGCGTGAACGGACTATCCGCAGGATCCATTGGACTCGCGCAATCATCTGCGTGGTTCAAGTAGCACTGCAAAGTCTTCGGTGTGGGAGAGGCTGATACCTCAGAGCATCGTCGCAACATATCACATAACCTCATGCGACCACCATTCTGCTAAACCGCTACACTTGTACGTAGGGTATGTCAGTCTCAACCAGAAATGCTCAGGAATGCCAAGAATCCGGAATCGAGTTCCTCACATGGTTGACAAGTTGACAAGCCAAGCAACATCCGTGCTATCACATCATGAAGAAAAAGTCGAACTCCCAAGCTCATTACAAACACTGCTCCTAGATGAGCAAACAATCCTCCACTGAAAAAACACGTGTCGACAAGGATCTGATGCCGCCGCGGAGGTGTCACAAAAGCACGCCGAGAAGATCGTGATCGAGAACGAGAGGATGCCCGCAAGCGTGAGCTACGCAAAGGTGCATCCGACATGGAGCTACGCAACAAACGCCGACTCAAAACCAAAAGAAAAGGAGTCAGTTTCTGTTTTTTCGACAACGAAAACCTCAACCACACATTGCACCAAAGTGTGAACAACGAAAGACGAGTTTCTAACACCTGATCCCAGTTTACCCAGCAACGGTCTGAATCCAAAACTGTTTCGTGAACAAAAGCAAGAATGGGGTCAGAACAAACACAAGTTAAGCCGTCTATGTACTGGTCTAAAGAAAAAGGGTTGACGCGCCACAAAGGAAGAAGACACAAAAAAGGAGGAGGACAAGGAACACCCGACAACCGAAACAACAAAACTAAAGCGCATACCGTGGCTACTTCTTGAGCCTTCATGCTCATGCAAAGTATGTGAACACAAGAACGAAATGACATTCGAACCCCCCCCCCAACCCCAACAACATGTGAAGCATCACAAAAAATCTGCAAAAATGTCTCAAAAGTGGGTCCGGTTTTCAGTCCCTAGGCTTAAACCACCTACCAGCATTGACTCCATAAAAGCTGTTGCTCCTTAAAAGCCGGAAAAATCAAGCCATGTAATGTAGGGCTCAACCTCTGTTTCCTTTGGTTTATAGGTCACATCAAGCAATTTCATTAAACCTGTACAATTGCATACTTACATACTTGCTTTCTTTCGCGGAACTAGGTGATGATGGTCTCTCGTATTTCCATTCGCAAGCTTACGTACAAACTCCTTAACCTATTTCCTTTGCTACGCTTTTTGAATGAAAATAAGAGGAAGTCTTTGGTCACTGGATTCACAACCTGCCCTTTTTGGAAGCAAGTGCAGGTGGTTACAGTAAAAATCCAGACCAGTCGTTAACAGTCTTTAGATTCATAGGCCCCAGATCCAAGAACAAGAGTCAAGAGAGGAGATTTATTAACTTAATCGTTTACACTGAAACAATTTATGAAATACGATAGCTACAAATGCATGGCGGATCATAGTTCTGTCCTATGGCATTGTAACAACAAAAACGAAAGAACAGAACACGAAATCATTGTGTTCATTCATTGGTCCACCTTATGTTAAGATAATCAAGAACTGATGATTAGAAAGTGACCAGAAGTAAAATAGAGGGAAACGTAAAAAATGTTGATAGTCTGTTTGATGAGACTGTGTTCCTACAGCATTAAACAGAAAGTCCAACGCTATCAACAAGTGTTTCTGTATTATCTCTCCTTTTGCCTTTGAACTACACATTTAATCATAGAAAAAAGTGCGTAATGAGTTCAAGCGAGTATATAAAATATATTGGTTATTGTTGCACCGGTCAATGCTTTAAACATAACAACACAAGACATTATATAACATTCTCACTCTCATAAAAACAACTTACGACACCCCCTCGACTTTCAATATGTTTGTCTTTAGGGTTTATTCTTGTCGATTTGTCTATGTTTAATATTCCTAACTTAATACTGCACTTGCTAAAGAACCAAAGGAACCTACAATATATATAAGGAAAAAATAGGAAAACCAATAATGCAATAATGCATTACAGTAATGAAAGGCACCATATGGCACCATAGTTTGAGGTTAGTAAGTGATGGAGGAGTAATCCTATATTGGTTTTCAATATTGTTTTTGTTCTTGTTCTTGTTAGGGTGCACAGAGAAAGAAATAAGAAACCTAACAAAAGCAAGACCATCACTTTGCATTATTTTTCATGAGATTGTTGCACCTTCATGCCTTCATGTATTCTATATAACTCTAGATGTTCCTACAAGAAACAAAGTGGATAGGTGAACGGAACGGACCGATCATCATATTCGATCATATTCATACCTTGGTCTAACCGTTCACCCTGAAAATCAATAATAACAAAAATTGATTCTGAAGGTCATTAGTCCCTTCAAATGAATCCATCTGATTTCCTTTTCATCTTCACAAAGTTCAAAGGCAATAAAATCGCAACGTTGAAATTTATCCTAGGCCCGGGCGAATAATGGAAAGGTTTATTGCTAGTTATTTTAGTTTTGCTCTTACAGAATTCAACCTTGGCACCATGGGAGCAATTTGCCTACCCCGAAAGAAAAAAAGAAGAAGCAAACATTGCACTCCAATATCATATTATTTTTATTTCCTTTATCTTGCGCCACGTTATCGTCTTTGTTCTCGTCATCATGTCACAGTATAGTATGTATAAGTGTTTAGGCTTTAACGAGCTGATTGGGTTGAGTTTTAGAAATACTTGAGAAAAGGAGGTCGGCGAAAGGTTGGTGAGGCAAAAGGCAGCAGCAGCAGCAGCAGTAAATGTAAGCAGCAAAGCGGTAGCCGCAGCGCAGAAAGGCTGCAGCAACAGCAGCAGCAAATTGCAAAAATACTGAGCCGTCACAGCAGGGAGTTGAACCCATGCCCTACCCCCTAAAGTGAAGGTCGCATTTTGCGACCCCAACATCAGGTCATGTAGGAGGATCATAGCCCTAAGCTAAAGCTAATTGAACTCTGAGGCAACCTTTCGTGACAAGAGAAGCTTAATCCACCCATAAATTAAGTAAATAAACAATAATGATGAATGGGTTGGATCTTAGGCTTACTCTAGTAGAAACTATATTGTTGGTTTCCTAGAAACCTGACATTATCCATCAACCACGTAAGTCCCAAACATAATCTCCCCAAAAAAAGGGAACATTCGACTGAGATGATATATGGTTTCTTAAGTTGTCTGTCCACACGAATCATTTAGTTTGTTCAAAATTTCCATCTAATGACATGGTGTAAGGAAAAAGAGTATATTCATGTAAGTATATATACATATATATTCTATGGGTTGGGTTTTATGATCTATGATTTTAACAGCTACAATTCTGACATTGCAATATTGTATCATTGAGTTGCAAAACTCCTTATATTATTGCCTTTGGATTTTTGCACTGCTTCTTTCATTTGATCTCGGCTCCTTCTCCAACAGGAAAATTGGATGCAAACTGAGAAGGAAAATTGGGTCAACATTCATTCATGAAACATAACAATCCAAAATCTCAAGGACATAAGATAAGGAAAGGAGTCTATGATATGTTGCTTATTTCTATATATTTTTCCCGAGAGCGTCTGCGAAGGGTTCTTCGTAAAAAAAACATCTGCAGAACTACACCTCCTCTACATCTTCACATCTTCACATCTGCACATCTACATCTCTGCTCATCTTCACATCCTCACATCTACATCTCACATCTTCACCTCTGGCTCTTCTTAACTTTCTCTCTTAAGGCCGGGGGCAGTGCCGCCGGACCGCCACGAAACGCAACCCTCTGCGGAGATCGTGCGTGTCGAGTGCGCGAAATGCAGGCGAGAGTGCGATTTGG